AAGGGTCACCAGACCTGAAACATTAACTCTGATTTCTCTTCACAGATACTGCCAGGCCTGCTGAGCTTTTCCAGCAACTTCTGTTTTTGTTTCTGATTTACAACATCCACAAGTCTTTCAGCTTTTATTTAGGTAGCAGATCAAGACTAGGGCAGGAACACGGGACATAGGAACTGCGCGAAAAAAAAAGACCAAGGTCCAACCAGGTGTCAGCTTTAGCCCAGAGGGAGCACTCCTGTCTCAGTAGGTCACAGGTTTCAAATTTAACTTCAGACTTGAGCACAATGTCTGGGTGGACACAGGGTGACATTGAACAATATTAGAGATGCTAAATTCTAGCTGAGTAATGAAGTAAGGGCCCATTTTCCTTCTCAGATAGACTTAAAAGATTCCACAGCATGATTCTAATAAGAGTGGGGAAGGTCTCCAAGAGATGTGGCCAACATTGTTCCCTCAGCTAACACTTATCTGGTTATTTACATTCTATATTGCTATTTATAGGAACACAAATGGGGAAACTGGCTGCCTCATTTCCTACATTAGTTGTGCTTCTGTAAAAGTACTCGATTTGGAGTAAAATTCTAAAGTCATGAAAAGAGAACATATAAATGTGATATAATTAGCACTTTCTCTTTTTCTGTACTAAAGTTTCTTACCTGGTTTCATTTACTCAATTTGTTGACCATGATATTGTTTAATTAATGTATTCAATCAAATTTCAATCAGTTAATTTGTGAACACAAGTTAGGCCGCCTACTTAATTCAAATCAATGGGCACATTTTCTTAGTCCTGCCAATGAGTTTGCAGGTGGGGAGTCTGTGAATTGTCCCACTGCTGCCCAACCCACCCTCCAATCTTATCTGTGTCCTCGGCTTCCAGCAATTAAAATATGGGGACTGCCTGTAGTCCCAGCATTCATCACTGCTATTAGTGCCACAGCAGAATCCAATCAAATTGTCTGATTGCCCTCTGAGGTTGGACTTACTCCCAAATGAGGGGTGGAAGGCCCACTTTTGTCCAATCATCACTCCTTGGAGATTAAAACGCTGGGGAGTTGCCAACATCATCCCCACCAACATTTACAATGGCAGGATGGGACACTGTCCAGAAACACTGCCCTAGTTATTGAACTCAACTTAGCACCTTTGACCCACGCCCCTGCAGCTCATTCAACTTATCAGTTGGCATTGAAGCCACAGAATGAAAAAAATAATATTCAGAGCCTATCAGCTGCCAATACAGTCTGGGGACAGCTGTACTTCCAGTCAGTAGTGCAACTATTAATAACAATAGGAGTTTCATTATATAAAAAGATTACGTGAGATGCTTAACTGTTTATGAGGTATCTGCTTTGGAAAAAGCATGCCTTAAGAAGACAATTTAAACCAAACCTGCCCTTCGTTCAGATGCGTCCTACATACCTGTTGAGTTTTTATTTCTGCTTTTGACATCCCCTCTGGTGGGAGTAGCGGCTGGCTGTCCATCATCATTCTTTCGTATTCATCTTCCAAGCCTAATTGACGAGTTATCACACTCAAAGCTGGGTACAGGATTTCCATTCTACAGTGGAGGGCAAAGTCCTCAGTTTCACTGATTTTCTTGAAAAACCATTTTTAGCAATCAATGAACGAGCAAGTTTCAAAAAACATTTGGAGCTTCAAATAAATTAATCTGCTCTGCTTCATAGAAGCATAAGTTGTTCCTAAGATCTGATACCTCTCAAAAAACAAACAGACTGTTAACTGACTGGGAAATTATTGCAGCAACTCACCCAACAGATGCAAGCCTATGAAACAGGAGCTGAAGTAAGCCATGTGGCCTCTCTAGCCTGCTCCGCCATTCAATAAGATAATGGTTGATGTGTTTGTGTTTCTAAATCCATATTCTCATCTACCCTGATAAACTCTTGATTCTGCTGCCAAACAAAAATCTATCCACCTCCACCTTAAAAATCCTCAATGGACCCAACTCCACTGACTTCTAAGGCAAAGAATTCCAAAGGCACACAACTCTCTTGAATAAAAAAAAACTTCATATCTTTGTATTAGTCTAGAAAGCATCAAGAATACTATGTACAGTTCTGGTCTTCTTATTTAAGGAGGGATGTAAATGTATGGGAGGCAGAAAACATCTTCTGAACCGCCTCCCATATATTTACATCCCTCCTTAAATAAGAAGACCAGAACCACTCTCACCAATGCCCTGTATAACTAAAGCATAACACCCCTACTTTTATGTTCAACTCTCCTCATAAGAAAGAAGATTATGCCATTAGCCTTCTTGACTCCATACTCCTTTTATTCATTAACAGAATGACAGCGTCACTGTCTAGGCAGCATTCATTGCCCATCCCTAATTGCCCAGAGGGCATTTCAGAGTCAACTACATTGCTGTGGGTCTGGAGTCACATGTAGGCCAGACCAGGTAAGGATGTCAGTTTCCTTCCCTAAAGGAAAAAAAGGACATGAGTGAACCAGTTGGGTTTTTTTTGGACAATCAGCAATGGATTCATGGTCATCATTAGATTCTTAACTCCTGATATTTCATTGAATTCAAATTCCACCATCCTCCTCAGCAGGATTTGAACTCAGGTCCCCAGAATGTTATCTGCATCTCTGGATTAACAGTCCAGCGATAATGCCACTAGGCCATCACCTCCCCTGTACCTGAATAGTAACGTTTTGAGACTCAAAATTCCAGTCATCCTCTGTTAAAGCAATATTCTACTTTTTCATTTCTCCTGCCAAATTTTTACCCACTTGTTCAACCAATCTATATCTGTCTGCAATTTCCTTATGACTTCTTAACATACTTCCTTGGTGTCATCTGCAAATGTAGCTCCCATGCCTAAATGTAGATGTAAATTGTAAAATGTTGAGGCCCAATCACAGACCCCTGTAGGATTCTACTTGCCCCATCCTGCCAATCAGACTCATTTCCACATACTCGCTGTTTTCTGCCAGCCAGCCAATCTTCTATCCATGTTAATGTGTTATTCTTGACACCACAAGCTTCATTTCCACCAAAAACCTTTGATGTCGCATCTTATCAAACTCATTATGGAAATCTATGTATAGTACATTTACAGGCCCCTCTTTATCCACTGCGTATGTTATTCCTTCGAAGAATGTCAATAAATTTATTAAGCATGATTTCCCTCTGGCAAAACCATGCAGAGTCTTCCCTATTACCTTGAGTTATTCTAAAAGTGCAGATATAATCTCTTCAACAATCGATTCAAACACCTTTGCTGCAACAACATCAAGTTGTTTGGCCTACAGTTTCCTGTTTTCTACCTCCGTCCCGCCCTTCTTGAATAGAGGGTTTATATTTAGTACTTTCCATCAGATGGAACTTTTCATGGTTAAAAGAAATTTTGTAAACTTACCACCAAGACATGTACTACCTCATTAACCACCTCTTTTAAAATGCTTGGAAGAAATTCATCTAGACCTGGAGACTTATCAGTTTGCTTAGTAACATTTCCATCATAACAGTAATTTGCTGAATTACTCTTTCTTTCTCTCTTCCGTCTCCTATTTACAGCTTGTGTGCCAGTTTACTACAGCTGAGTCAGCTTTGATGCCCACATAGTTGCACTTATTTAGATTATTAATTATTAATAATTAATCTTACCACATTACATAATGCAAAGTCTAAAATAAGACACTCTGTGGTTAGTTCCAGAACGCGATGCTATTAGAAATTATCTTCAAAGCATTCCACAAGCTCTTCATTCAGGTTATTGCTGTTGATTTGATTTTTTTTCTAGTTAACATGTAGTTTAAAGGCACCTCTGTACCTTCCACGTTACCTTCCAAACCCACAACCTCTACCACTTAGAAGGACAAGTGCAGCAAATACATGGGTACAACACCTTCTACAAATTGCCCTCTGAACCACTCACCATTCTGTCCTGGAAGTATATCGTTATTCTTGTAATGTCACTTTATCAAAACCATGAGGGTGTCCCTACACCTGAATGACTGTAGCCGTTCAAGAAGGTGCTTACTCCAGGGCAGTAAGTGATGGGCAGTAAATTCGGGGCCAGTCAGCGATCCCATGAAAAAATAAAATTAATGTTGTAGCTATTGTACAGCACCCAGCTGCAGTTTGATGTGGAAGCTCCAAACACAAAAGGCTGGTAATTACAGTTTAAAACAGAGTTTGATCTCCATCCATCTCACCATTCCTCCTCCAGTAACTGACGGCCTTGGACTCCCTCCCACGTTCTTTTCATTTTCTCCCTACTATCAATTTTCTTAGACCTGGGTATAAGGTAGAATGGCATCTTTAGGGCAACTAGTGATGAGCAACAAATGATGGCCCAGCCAGCAGCGCCCATATCCCATAAACGCATAAAGCAAAGAGAGCTATTAGGAAATGGAATGTCCTATTCAAAACAGGGTATCATGTTTTGAACTTACAGTTAGAATTTTTAAAAAAACTTGGCAGGAACAAGCTATGAAATGGCATTAAATATGGCCACCCACCCAGGGAATACACACATTTGTTTCAGGTTGGGTTAACACCAGAGGATTGCAGAATCTCTGGTCTGTCCATCTCCAGGCTTCATTCTGAACAAAAGAGGAGATTGCAATGCAAATGGTGGCAGATGGAAGTGAAAGGCCCTATTATCATTCTGTTCTATCAAACTGTCCCAAAGCTCAAGTGTTAAACCACGTCACAGGGCAGGGTTTCCTTTTATTCAGAGGTGGATGTTAAAGTGGGAGGAATGTTCATTTGGTGGTAGTGAATGGATAGGGTTTTCCTATGGGGATATGTTCTTCTCAGCTCATTACACATTCATGAATGGGTAAAGTGCTAAATGTTATGGCAGGAAGTTCTGCTCCCCCATCAGGAGCTAATGGGCTCCAATATCCAGCCTAAATAGTGCTTTCGTTTTCAGCAACTCAGGAGCATCACTGAACCGCTGCTTATCGCACCCAACCAGCACGGAGATGTCAGTGAGCTGGCAGAAAACAGCACCAGGTTTCCGCTCTGTTTCCCTGCAGGTTCTCCTGAGGGCCGTCCGGCAGAGAAGGGAAAGTTTCTCCCCATGGATGGCAGCAAAAGGCCACTCCAACTGATGAAAGCAGCATGGGCTGTGGGGGCTGTGGAGATCAGCCATTATGGGCAGTTCAAGAGAAATTGTCTCCAGTGCCACAAGAAGATGAATGATCTGCTGCTCTCTGCCAGGATGTCCACATGCTTCATGCTCCCGTGAGTGTGAGTTACTGTTGTAAAGTTGTCCCTGCAGTGGACTGCCACACAAGCATCTCCATTAGATATTTCATTTACAATCAATGTCACTTCATTGCAGCTACCAATGCAATACTACTGGCACTGCAGTGGTACTGTCTCCCACAGAATTCATGCTTGAAACAAAAACAAAGAGCTACAACAATCAGCCGCTCACATACTTTCAAGCTTTCTTCACAACTTGTGACTGTAAAGAAACTTTTGACCATTTGTGAATTCATTGGTAAAGAATTGCAAGTTTGATATTCATAGCTGTACGCCACAAACTCAGGAAACGGAAGGTGATTTGCATTGTTGAATAGAATACTAAAGAAGGACAGAGTTATATACTCACTTCTTTCACATTGATCTTCCTCACCTGTAAACTTTGCAAAATTGCTTGTAGAGGCTCACAGAGTTGATCTGTTCCACACTAAGCTTTAGCCTGCCCCATTCCTCCTTAAACACCTCAAGTTGTTTCCATAATATTAAGAATGATTTAAGAGCCATGTACACTGATATAGGGTCCTTTGCTTTCAAAGAAGGAGCTTCTCTGCTGGCTGAGGATTGTTCTCCATCTTTTTTTAATTCAACAGCATTCACCTGTGGTAAATACCAAAAGTCTGAAGCTTGAGCCAAGTGAATTCATGCTTTTCAAGGTAAACTGTATTTTATAATAGCCAACATCAGCTGGACTAAGAATGTTCACTTTGTTGTCAGGAATAAATAGTAGATAGAGGTAGTACTAACAAGGTGGTTTGCTTCCCTATAACATAATTTAGACAGAAAGACAAGGCCACAAACTGCTGCAAATGGTAGCCTGGTGGCCAACCCTCAATTCTACAAAGTTCTCCCTATTGGGTAGTAATCATACAAATCTAACATTAGTCCCAATCATGTCACAAATATTTATGCAGGGATAACATTGCAATTTTACGAAGTGTAATTGCTGAAGATTTACCTGCTGAGCTTTGGTCACTGAGTCAACCCTTGACTCCTCATCCCTTTCAGTAAACAGGTCACTCCCACTCTGTATCACATCTTCCACCAAAAGAGAGACACCAAGTAGCTCAGCGTTAGCTACACTTCGGTCATGATCATTCAGTCTACATAGGCAAATCTGGATCAAACAGAAATGGCAACAATTCCAATAAACATCCAGTTCAAAGTGTCACATTGCCTGAGTCATAGGCATCCTTGGTGATCAGCAGCATATTATTTCTTGTCACACACACAACAGGTTCTGAGGAAGGTTCATCGGACCTGAAACGTTAACTCTGTTTTCTCCTTCACAGATGCTGCCAGACCTGCTGAGCTTTTCCAGCAACTTTGTTCTTGTTCCTGATTTACAGCATCCGCAGTTCTTTTGGTTCTTATCATTTCTTGTCGCCCTTGCAATGGCAATAATCTCTCAGTCACAATGTCGTTGCACATCAATGGCACTGCCCAAACTGTTATTTATTTTAAGATCTCCAACAACGTACCATTCCAAGATACAATGGCTGAAGTGCTCCCCATAACAAAGAAAATGCAACCGAACTATTGCTTTTACCTGCATCCCATACTCGATAATTTGAAAGTTGCCGAGCATCACTGGGACAAATCCTTCTCTTGCTAAGAACGTTCTCCAGGGAAAGAGTACAGTGGCCTGGAACAAAAAATACTTGGTCAAAGGAGAAAAGCTGAGTTACAAAGTATAAAAAAAGTACTATGCTGCAGATGCTGTAACCCTGTAATAAAAACAAGAAACGCCAGAAATGTTCAGCAGGTCATGCAGCACCTGTGGAGGTGGGGTGGCGGGGGAGTGGGGGGAGGGGTTTACTGACATTTCAGGTCAATGACCCTTTGTCAAGACCTGGGACATTTTCATTGTTTTCTGGCTTTATTTCAATTATGAAGCACCCTCATTAAAGTTTCTCTCTTTGTCAATGATCTGAAACTTGGAAGCATTGTGAACAATTAGGAGGCTAATGTCAAACTTTAAAGGGACACTGACAAAATGGTGGAATGGATGCACAAGAGGTAGAGAAGAGTGGAGTGATCCATTTTGATAGTAAGTCCACAGTGAGGCAATATAAACTGAAGAGTTTAACTCTAAAGGGGATGAAGAGGCAAAGTGATCTGGGTGTACGTGTGGACCAATCACCGAACATGGCAGGATGAGCTGAGAACATGGTTTATAAAGAATTTTTAATGGGGGCAGATGGTAGAGGTGAAAAGCAAGGAGGTTATGTCAAACCTGTATAGAACCCTGGAGAATTGGGTACAGTTCTGGGCCCCACTCTTTTGGGAAGTTGTGAAGGCATTAGAAAGAGTGCAAGGAAGATTCACGAGGATGATTCCAGGGATGAGAAACCTTCATCACGTAGACAGACGGGAGATTGGAAGAAGAGAAGTTTAAGAGGAGATTTAATAGAGCTATTCAAAACCATGAGGGGTCTGCACAATGTCGATGGAGAAAATCTGTTCCCATAGGCAGAAGGACTGGAAACCAGAAGGGTCAGATTGAAGATAATTGGCGTAAGAATAATTGGAGTCTTGAGGAAAGTATTTTTATGAGATACTAGTGGTCAGGATGTCGAATACACTGTCTGACAGTGTTCTGGAGACAGAACATTTAAGAAGCAATTGGGTTATTATTTGAAAAGTAAGAACAGCCAAGGCTACAAGGAGACAAAGGGGAAATGGCATTTGGTAAGTTGCTCCTTTGCTGAACCAGTGCAGAAACAGCAGGCTGCATGGCCTGATTCTGTGCTGTAACGCACTGAGAAGATGTCTTTTGGGATTTTACAGTTCATCACACTAATCGGAGAAGTTAGAAAAATGTGACAGAAATGCTAACAATGTGACAGACAAACCTAGATTTATCTTGCACTTTAGTCAACCACTGGATATCTCAAAGCACTTACCAGCCAATTAAGTCCCTTTTGAAGTCTAGTCCCTGTTGGAATGCAGGAAATGTGGAAGAAAATTCTGCAAGCAGCCAACCCCCACAGCAATAGTGGAAAGATAATCTGCTGTTTTTGTTGAAGTCTAATGTATAAATATTGGTCAGGACAACAGGAATAACGCTTCCGCTGTTCTTCAAAAGATGAATAGGATTTCTCCATCCATCTGAGTTGCCAGATGGGACTTGCTGCCTAAGTTTAATCTTTCAGTGCCAATTTGATCTTTGTGCTCAAATCCTGGACTCGGGCTTGAACCTAGCAACATTCACGGATGTGAGTTGGGAGGAGACTCATCTGAAGCGCAAATATTGACCAGCTGACTGAATGTTCTGACTCCAAGCTGGACATGTGATACAGTTCTATGTGAGATGAGAGGGGATTATGCCACAGCTGGTTCAATTCTCAATGCTGTTTGTTAACGGCGTGGAGCTATTGAAAATAATCTTCGCCTGATTTTGGTCAGTTCAGCATAGGCATTGCTGGTCCCCAGTATATACTGACCTTGTGACTCCAGGCATCCAGTGGCCCTGGTAGAGTAAGCAATGATCCGTACAGGCTGCTGTCTATAGAATTACTCATGGCCGGCAGCGCTTGACACATTGAGTCTGTCACTGATTGAAACGCTGCCACATTGCCAACAGACAGAAAGGTTTCCCTGTAAAAAAGACAAAAAAATGTGAATTATCAGCACTCAGAATGATACAATATTTGCTTTTAGATCAGCTGCTTTCATTCACAGCCTATGTGACTGATCTATGAGTGAATATGAAGGTTTAAGATATAGCTTAGTATTCCATAATATCCTGTGGGCATTGACAACCAAATAGCATTCAAATCAGACCAGATAAAACATCCATTTGGTAAGCTGGATAACTGCAATTACGTGTAATAGGCAACTCCCAATACTGGCAATAATCAAGAAATAATAGATGGGACTCCTGCACCATAATGATAGTGTCCCTGCTTCTAAGCCAGTATGACCCAGGTTCAAGACCCATCTGCTCCAGAGGTGTGTAATAAAATCTCTGAACAGGTCAATTGCTTTACTTAAAAAAAAGTAAATGGCCATTTGGTGGTGGTTATAAGAAGAAGTGCAGAGGTGCAGAACAGCATCTCTGAACAGACAAAAGGAATAATAGATGGAATGCAGAGTTATTCATGTGTGTGCGACACAGAGAGAGAATTTAAATGTAAGAACACATAATCTCTTGCATTGCAAATTATTTGTCAGTAAACTGCATTAATTCCTTCACTATAAATTGAAGTATCAAATGCTGGAGCTACTAATCAAAACAAAAAGAAATTTTCTTCAGCAAAAAAAAACTGACCCTAAAAAGTAATCTAAAAGGAATGATCTATATTGAACAAACAATCATTGATGACAACAGTGGTCTCACGGCCAGAATTTAATCTCTGGGCTCAGGTGGCATGTATAAATTGTCTGAGGTTCATTGTTGTGATTCAGGATATTAACTGAACTCTCTTATGATGTTACTAATAAACAATGGGGCATTATTGATAAAAAAGACAGATGGATATTAATGTTTTGATAGTGAATCAACAATAAAATGATATTACCATTCAGATAAAAAAAATATATATAGTCCAAAGATGTGCAGGATAGGTGGATTGGCCATGCTAAATTGCCCGTAGTGGTCAGGGGTGGGTTATGTGGGATGGGTCTGGGTGAGATGCTCCAATGTTCGGTGTGGACTTGTTGGGCTGAAGGGCCTGTTTCCACACTGTAAGGATTCTATGTAACTTCCCAGTTTCTTTTAAGAATGGTTTAGCTGAATGTTGGTAGAGTTGTGAGACAGATCATGATTTAGTTTGGATTTTTTCCTTAATAAAATTTAGAGAAACAGAAATGATCAGTTTACAATTGCATATGTAACTGTACCTGATTCAACCCACATATAAGGATTAGACAAGCTTCATTAATTTATTTCAAAAAAAGATAATATTTCTTCAAACCTGTTTGATTCCATCTTGCATCATTATGACTATTTCAAGTGATTCATGTTAATTGGGATAGCAATTTTCATTAAATACTAAATTACATTTAGCATTACTTATATAAGTATCTGTAAGTGTCTGTGTGGGTGTTCAACTTGATGTAAACCCATGTGTAAGCATGTGTGTGAGAGAGAGAGACAGAATGGGAGAGACAGAGAGGGAGTCAGAGAGAGAGAGAGAGAGAGAGACAGAGAGAAGTTAAATATAAAAATAAGTTCAATCAATTCCCTGAATGGATTTATGCTGTATTTTTTCTTTACTTAACAAAGTAGTAAAGTGCTTGAAGTTTCTGTTGCCAGTACAGCAGAAGCAGACATCCTGTGCTTTGTGCATTGCTCTTGCTAAGCAGGCTGGCCACTCAAAGAAATCCTATTCTCAGTGCAATGTTCATCACAAATCTACACAGTCCAATATCACCACGATCTGTTTCATTGATATAACTACGTATCTATGAGTAAGCAGTGGAATTCATCCCACTGAGCAACTAAGGTTTACGTTATATTAAATTTAAATCAATTTAATTTAGATTATTTAAATTTAAATGGAATTACATTTGTGACTACATTCCAAGTGAGATCACTGACCATTACGATAACTAGGAGTCTCTCGCCTGTTGCAGCTTCAGTAGATTTGTCTGAATTGAAACAGTGTTGTTCCCTTCTTTAAATTGCCCAATGCCAATCTGCTTTAAATGATTGGGGTCCGAATTCCCCTGGCTCTCTGTTCTCGGATTAGACATGTTTCTCTTTTGACTGTTTTCTAGCTGTGCCACTTGGTATCTGTGGGATTATAGCAACAATGCCCTTTTGAACTGAATTATTGCACTGCTTAAAGATCCCCCTTTGTACCAGGAACTTGCAAACCCTAGAGGCTATTCATTCTGAGACTGATCTAAGATTTGTGATCATTCCCACCAACCATTGCCTCATGATGCAGCCTCTACCTCAGTGTTGAAGTTGCAGATTTCTTCAGTTTGCTGAAGTGTTGTCAAGAGGTTGTTTTGAGGTGCACTGTGCCCTGCAATCAGCAAGACCCATTTCCTTGAGATCTTCTGAACTGCCAGCATGTTTACCTCGTTGGGATTAGGTCTCAAACTTATCACCATTTGTATCTGCATTTTCTAAACATATAGGGGACCATGGTAATGTCAATAAACTAGTAATCCAACATCCCAATTTAATAAGGACTCTTGTGGAACAGTGGTAGTCTGCCTCTACACCAGGAGGTTCAAGTCCCACCTGTTCTGGAGTTGTTTCATTTCATGTCGAACCAGGTTGATTCAAAATAGTTGATGCACTCTTTCAGGATTTACATGATCTCCTGTGTGTGATGGTTGGACACCTTCTAGTCTATTTTGCCAGGTAAATAAGACGTAGTCTATTGCATCATTGTGACTAATAACATTGCAGAATAGACTACATTATTACAAAAGATATTTAAGAATAGATCCTACATTATTACAAAGACTGTTAGGTGGACCTAGCCTTAGCTCTGTCTTCCATATGATCCGACTTTACTCTCTCACCGTGATCTCATCACAGTGGGTGGTGCTATTGCACGCAATCAAATATTAACCCTTTCAGACCCTTCCAGGGCCACACATAGCACCAAGCACCTGGCCAGAACTCTACAGAACATACAGTAATTAACCAGCACTAACATTTCCATTCAAATAGTATTTGTTAGAATAGATTCTTTACCTGATTAAATGGCGAACAGCAGCATCAAACTGCAAGAACATGACCTCTCTTTTGAGAATGAGGAGCTTAGCAACTGAGGCAGGGTCATGTGGATTGGAAAGGTCATCAATCTGAGCCTGAATCTCCTGAAGCTCAGAACCTGCCCCAATAGGAAACAGCAAAATATATAAATAGACAATTCATGATATTTAATAACTCATAACTCTATTAGTAGGGGCTTACAGTGCAAGAACAAGGAGGGCATGTTGAATTTATATCAAACAATCATTGGCCTCAGCTGGAATACTGCATCTAGTTCTGGGTACCACCTTTTAGAAAGGAGGTGAAGGCATGGGAGAGAGTGCAGAAGAGATTCACAAGAATGTTTCCATGACTGAGGAGTTTCAGTTAAGAAGATTGATTGGAGAAGTTAGAACTGGAGAAAAGAAAGCTGAGAGGAGATTTGATAGTGGCATTCAAATTCATGAGGGGTCTCAATGGAGTAGAAGAAATGAAAGGATCACAGGAAGACAAAGATTTAAAGGAACTAGAAAAAGAAGCAAAAATGAATGAAACAAATATAGAAATATAGAAAACAGGAGCAGGATATGCTCTGGCATTGACCTCTGAAGTGCAATCTTTACACTGTATCAGAGCAGTGTCTTTCTTTTTCTTAGCTTTCTCACGCTGAGTGGAACTGCCAATTCCCAGGGTACTGATCCCAGCTGACGAGAGCTTTGTGCTGGGAGCATACGCTCACTAGGGACAGCAAAGTTATTCAGCTTAGGGCAACATATTACCCCATCTACATGAGCCTGTCCAGGTTGGAAATGTCAAGTAGTAAGGAGCATAAGTTTACGGTGAGAGGGGAAAGCTTAAAGCAGATGTACAGACGATGGTAGGATCCTGGACATGGATCCTGCGTGGAATGGTATCTCAGCAGTTAGCACTGCTGCCTCACAGCGCCAGGAACACAGGTTCAATTCCAACCTCGGGTAACTGTCTGTGTGGAGTTTGCACATTTTCCCCAGGTCTGCGTGGGTTTCCTCCGAGTGAGCCAGTTTCCCCTCACAGCCCAAAGACGTGCAGGTTAGGTGGATTGACCATGGGCAATGCAGCGGTTTGGAGTGGGTCTGGGTGGGATCTCTTTGAAGGGTTGATGTGGACTGGATGGGCTGAATGGTCTGCTCCCATACTGTAGGGATTCCATGATGCCAGGTGAGGTAGTAGATGCTGATACGGTAGCAATGTTTAAGAGGCATTTAGACAGACACATGAAAAAGCAGGGAATAGAAGGATATGGACCATGCCTAAGGCAGATAGGATCAATTTAGATGGGCATCATGGTTGGCACAGACATGGTGGGCTGAAGGGCCTGTTCCTGTGCTGTACTGATATATGTGATGCAGTAACTAACGACTGCCCCGTTAAACTACCATTTTATATGCTTTCTATTTCATGTAATCATTTTTTGAAGCAAGTAACAACTTTTGCTAGTTTTATATGGTGCCCATCAACATTAGTTATAAACCTCTGCTGGTGTGTTGAGTCACAAAGACCATGGAAATGCCAGATTTAGCCACTGTTTTATATCTTAAATCTCAGCTAGCAGGCAGATAGGTGCTGTGTAAAGTGTTCTTAAGGGGTTAATTTTCATGTTACATTGGCTCCATCCATTCAACTGATGTCAGCCACAGCCTGTAGGTTGAGGCCTATTCCAGCTTTTGAAGGGAGTAGATGCATTTCTATCAGCTCCCTACAGTCCTAGTAATTACACCTGACTAAATATAGTTCTACTTACTGCTGTCATGCAATAAACCAATTATACAAAATAGTGCCTCCTTTGTAGTTACTCTATAGTTATGTATCATCCACCACTATTCATTAGATAGACCCAAGACTAAACAAAGATAATGGAGGATTGGTGACAGTTAGCAACCACACACAAACCTTACCCAGTCTCACATACTGATGGACATACTGTAACACAATGTACCAGGATTTGTCCCCTGAGAAAATACCACATTCGGAATAGTGGAATTGGCAGCAATCTTGTTCAGTCAGGAAGAGGTAAATGAGCCTGGGTCGCTCCTTCTATTCGCTGTGTGAAAAGTCGGTGTTTCTGGGCAGTGCGAGGAGGACTAGACTGGTTTCAGCAGTCATCCCAATCATTATCAAAAAGCCAACATTATTTCCTTCCACCTCCAGGACAATTAGCAATTTTAAAAGGATCTGCAAAGATGAGAGACTGGGATGTCTGCTTGGTGACAATTAAGGGGACTGAATGGGATTTTCAATCTTTTCTCTGGAGGAGGTCAAACCTGGGTACATTATTGCACAGCCTCAGGATAAGGGACAGTTTGTTTTCATTTCTGATTGTTTTGATCAATGAACAAGTGTCCAGCCAAGTGTTATACCTTGACTTGATGTTCTCGCGACTTTGGACCATCTTTAGCCTCCTGGTCCTTTCATCAGCTGCCAATTCTTCTCAGCTGGAGGCAGTTGACATCTCTTATTAGACACTATGCTTGCTGACTGAGCAGCCTCTTATTTAATATTGTCTCACAAGATGCTGACCTTGGGAGATACACCAACATCCTAACTGCCCTGAGGAATGTGGGTTGTGACCCACCTTCATGAGCTGCTGCAGACTGTGTGATGTAGATGCAGGAATTTTCTCCAGGATTTTGATCCAGTCACAATGAAGAAACAGTGATATAACTCCAAGTCAGGATGAAAGGTGGTTTGGCAGGGAACTTGTGGACAGTGGTGGATCACACGGGTCTACTGCACTTAAACTGTCTACGCAGCAATGGTCACAGGCTTGGAAGGTGCTGTTGAGGAGGTTTGGCAAGCTAAATCTTTACACTTAAGAATACCGACATGAGAACCACACTGTTCAGGTGCAGGGTTAGGGCACAGAATTTGCCTGGTTACCAGGATCCCAATCCTGCTTTGAAAATTCAGCCCCTTGTATTTAAATTCCTTCAGAGCTTTGCTCTTCTATAACTCCGTAACATCTTCCAACTCGATCTTCCTGAACTCTAAGTTCCTTAGACTATGGTGTCTTGTGTCTCCTTATTACTTTCACTCTACAGTTAGTAGTCTTCAGCTGCCTAGGCCCCAAATACTAGACCTTCTCTCTAAACACCTCCCTCTCCAGCTTAAAACCAATCATTATGAGTAAGTAATTTTGCTCATCCTTCCAAATATCTCTGCTTCAGCACCTTATGTTAGTTTAATTGCTCCTTTTAAAAAAGCACCTTGGTATGAATTTCTATCATAAATTTCTGAGTGGTTTACTGCTACACTGCTAACAAACCCAGCATTCTGGGTAACTGCTATATGAACAGCACCGGTCAAAACCTTTGCACTCAGCAAGTTGTTTTATTTTCCCCCTTTTTAAGGCTTACCAATGCCTTCGAGTCCTCCCCACTCAGCGGCCAGTGGCTGCACCCTCTGAGATCCAATCAGAAGAGAGTTTCCAAGCCGTGCAAAACAGCACAGGTATGAGACAATGTCGTGAAGTGCTGCCACAATCTCTAGAGTCTTGTATAAGGCTTTCTGACAAACCTGACGAGCAGAAGGAATCAAATAGATCCATTTCAAACTATTAGCAGGTAATGTCCAAACACTACATACTATATGCCACTGAACTGTTAATCCAGAGACCCAGGTAATGTTCTGGGGAGCCGAGTTCAAATCCCACCACTGCAGACAGTGGAATTTGAACTCAATTAAAAGAAAATCTGAATTAAAAGTCTAAATGATGGCTGATTGTCAGGAAAACCCCATCTGATTCACTAATGTTCTTTAGGGAAGGATATCTGCCATCCTCATCTGGTCTGGCCTACATGTGACTCCTGACCCACAGCAATATGGTTGACTCTCAACGGAGCAATTGGGGCTGGGCAATAAATGCAGGCCTAGCAGCCCAACATTTCACTTCAGTGATGCTCATCCAAACATCTTTGATGTAAAAGAACAATTTAATTAGATTTTAGACAGACCACGTTGATAAAAGAAATGTTTAAAATCAGTAGTATCAAAGCTAAATCATAAAAGGAGCAGCAAATAGACTGAGAAACACAGTTCACTGAAGTAGTCTACAGGTTACTGTGATTGATGTGACCGAATGATAAAATGTCCTCCACAAGCAGGTTTCTCCTTTGAAGAGCATTTAATGAACTTTCAACAGTTCCCATGATCAGATTTCTGGGGGGTGTTCCTATTATATATGAATTATTAGATTAAAGTTTGAATTCACAATCTCTGGGTTACTAGTTCAACAGGTAAACATGACACTATGTAACCTGCAATGGTGTTCCTTGAATTCCATATTTATGTAATGATTGTTGATTTTAAATGACTGCTTTGCAGTGTTGGGATTTTAGTGAGATCTCAAGGCTAATACATTAACAATTGGAAGTGGAACAAAAGGTGAAAGACAAATGCTATGAATTAAATTGCAGATCATTTAAAATCAGTAGAAACCAATGAGAGAAGATCAAAAGAATTATATTTGCACTGATGAAGAAATCCCAGCTCTAAAGAAAAATACTATTTGGATGAAAATCAAACACACCTTTTCCTCCAGGGTTTTAAACATAATAAGTACTTCAGAATAGTGAGGAATGAACCACAGATTAAGGAATGTTCTTCCATCTGGGGACAACAAACTGCGAGGACGTTGATTGAGTTTCCTGGATTAAAAAGAAATACTTGGTGATGTCAAAGCATGATAAGGTTAAGTCAGATGCATCCTCTGTGACACTTTCATGCTCTGATGTCTGTTGGAACTGGGCAAATTTAGCCTTCATGTCAGTTTATCCATTACTACATTTTTTGCAAACAATTCAGCTTTTCTCAGAATAAAACAGACATTATATTGAATCTTAAGATGCTAAACACAGAGGCAGGGTGCGATGCGACCCTCCACAGAATTAAATGTCACTTTAATCAATGTGGCCATGCACTTCCCCATGAAAAGGGATGCGGAATCCCAGGGACAGTAATTCTAGACAACCCCTATTGGACAATTCAACGGCAGTAGAGGCTGGGAACAGGTTGCCTGCTCAATTTATCCACTGGGAGCTGTGTGCAATGACAGGAAGTGAAATTTCATAGAATAGATTTTATAACATCCCTACAGCATGGAAGCAGGCTATTTAGCCCATCGGGTCCGCACCGGCCCTCTGAAGAGCATCCCATCCAGACCCATACCCCACTCCCACACCCAATCCCTGTCACGCTGAATTTTCCATGGCTAACAAACCTTGCCTGCACATCCCTGAACACTACGGGCAATTTAGCACGGCCAGTCCACCTAACCTGCACATCTTTGGACTGTGGGAGGAAACCAAAGCAGCCGGAGGAAACCCACACAGACACAGGTAGAATGTGCAAACTCCACACAGACAGTCACCCGAGGGTGGAATCGAACCCAGGTCCCTGGCCCAGTGCTAACCACTGAGCCACCAAGCCATTACATTGAAATGTAACTTAGAAAACTGCGGAGAAAGAAACATAGAAACACACAAAATAAAGGCAGGAGTAGGCCATTCAGCCCTTCAAGCCTGCCCCCCCATCAATATGATCATAGTTGATCATCCAGATCAGTCCCTGTTCTCACTTTCTCCCCATACACTTTGATCTCTTTAGTCCAGAACTACATCTAACTCCTTCTTGAAAACATTCACTGTTTTGGCCTCAGCCGCTTTCTGCGCAGAGAATTCCACAGGATCACCGCTCTATAGTAGAAGAAATTTCTCTTCATCTCAGTCCGAAATGCCAACTCAATATCCTTAAAGTATTGGATCGATATCTATTTTTTCACTATTGGATACTCTGGTTACAATCACAGAGTTAAAAGCCAAGTCTTTGAGGTGGAGTTTGCTGTGATTCTATTGCTTTTGATACAGTCAATCACACCAACCACCACCTCAAAGACTCCGCTTTTAATAAAGTTGAGATCACAGAGGAGTGAGATCACACCATGGCACAACAATCTTGTAAAACATTAATGTTAAACATGAACAGTGTTAGTGTACATGAGTGATGTGAGATCACATGAGAACAGGCTCTGGAGACAGTCATTTCTGCAGTTAGTCTTGTCCTACGCCTTATCATGTAAATAGTTAGAAGAATGTTTATTTAAAAGTAAACTTCCAACAGCCTGATCTCTAGAAGTCTCTATTGATCCTGATCAAGGTTACAACCTTCCTTAAGATTCACAATGATAACACAGCAATCACAGCAATCATTGGGTATTGTTTATGTTCATAACTTCAGAACTTGAATGAATGCGTATGTATCTTCAAAAATCTACTTGTTCATCCAAATGGATTAAGAAAAATGTAGAAATGGTTATTCCAACGGAAATCTCAGTGAAACTTAATGGGCTTTACCTGTCATTTGTTATCCTAAAAGAAATGTGCTTGGCATAACTGAAAATATAAAGTGATAAAGCCCTATTCACATATCCCATTGGCTTGTACCACATTAGGCACTGGATGCCAATTCCTGCAATGATACTCTTCATACAAAACAAGAATAACAACTTGCAGTTCTATGTATCCTTGATGTAGTAAAATATCCCAAAATGCTTCACAAGGGCATTATCAAACAAACTTAGACAACATAAGGACAGGTGACCAAAAGCTTGACCAATAGGATTTAAGGAGTATGCTAAAGGAGGACAGGTAGAGAGACAGACGGGTTTAAGTAGGCAATTCCACATTTAAGCAGCTGTAGAAGGCAGAGCCCTCTGCCAATTGTGTAACAAAGGAAATTGGAAAATTTAGGTTTTGTGTTCCTATGTTTCTATGTAGGCCAACAGTGGGGCCCAAAAGGCAACCCCAAGTGGGATCAGGCTCCTTAGCACAGACCAAGGATCTGTAGCTGCCTCCTAACCTAATGACTACAGAAAAGCATGTTTATCTACTGAGTCATCAGACAGCCTGTTTGTCACTTCTGAACAGACTTTCTCCATCATCTATAGAAAATTACCAGCAAAAATGTTCATTACTCCATATAAAATACAAGATGTGCACATTACAATGTTGTGAAGTACAAGAGATTGTGGCCATGTCTGCCTCTATAACTCGCAAAACAATACTTATCAGTGTATCTCTGTGACAACAGTAAATTAATCAGTCAGTTAATCAATTAATCAACCTTCAATCAAGGTACGGCATGCGCTTTGAAACTCGAGTGAGGGAAATAAAGATTCAAGAATCTGAATAAAGATAATAAATGAAAATAATGTGGTGCAGTTCAAGTCATCATATACATTGAGAATAAAGTATTGACAATTGGGCCAAAGAATTATTCTTCATATGGTTTTCCTCATTCTAGTCATTTCAAGGTAATTTAACTATCACCATAAACTGCATGTGCACAGATGCTAGTATTGACCTGGTTGTGATCCTCCCTCAGTTGAATAGCCTGGTGCACCTCATTGCCCAATCCCACTTGTGAAAAATGACCACTTGTGGAACAAGTCCCCAGGCTGTAGAACAGGAGGCATGGCAAAATAAGCTGATTGTTCACTGTATTGTTTCAATACCTGTTTTTAGCAGGAGGTCAAGTGTCACTAACCTTGGGTCAGAAATCAGACCCAGCTCCGAGTCTTGCTCTCCCTTCTTTTCTTGAGGCTGGCCCAACACAAAATAGGTTTTCTTGGTAGTGGGGAAGTCTTGCAGTAAAGCCAGCAGGCCCCTGTAGTATGCGATGATCTGTCCTCGCAGAGAGCACTGCGACATGCGCTCATTAAACCTGAGGTAAGACAAACCAAAGTTCCATTCTTTTGGTCACTGTTGCCTGAATACAATAGCATGGAAGGAACTTCCAAGTGAAATATTCTAGAGAAAGCTGAACTTCTAAATTATTCAACTTTGTCTTCAAGCATCTCACCACCGCTGGGATGTGGGGAGAATGCAGGCGGGTGATGCTATGGAGGTGAGGACACAGGGTCATGGTAATGGATAGGAGATGTGTTGGTAGCTCAATTTTCACAGTCAAATCAGGAAGACAAAGATGGTCACCTTCTAATGTGGTTTAAGCAAGAGGAACTAGGATCAGCAAGTAGGGTGGGGAGTTTCTGGTGGGGCTATTGAGATGAATGATCAATGAACATTGGTTGGAAAGAAAAGAGGTTATCAGAAGCACTTCCTTTTTCTTCTTTGCCTCGTATCGTGGAATATTTAACATCATGAAAAAGAAGAGGAGACTTTAGTTCTGACAGACAGCAGATTGATGCCACAATGCAGCCGTCCCTCAGCACTGCAACCAATCCAGATCCACGTGAATCATGCAGAAATAATACCAGCTTAAACAGACTGACACACTCAGTTCTCCATCTCAGCACACAGAGGGCAGGCCACTGAGTAGGAGCTGGCCATTTCTACATGCAAAAGGGGAAGAGGGAATCACATGTGCTGTGTACTTTGTGGTAAGCCCCAGTCAAAAAGCCGATGCAACGCCATTCCAGGATCAAGCCAACTGATCATATTCTTAGCAGCAGAAACGTTGTGGTCTGGAGGGGCACGACGAGAGGGAAGAAACCTGGGGTCTAAATCACCCTCGCTGTTCTTTGAAGAAAGTAAAATCAATGGACATACATCAGGGAGAATTGAAAAGAAAATACAAAAGGACATCAAAAAATTTGGGTAAAATCACATTATATGTAAGTTTTAAATTTGGGCTGGCAAGTGGTGTGAAAACTGATCTCCATTAGGTAACTTTGAACTGAGTAATTGTCCAACAGAAACACTTCCATTGAGTAGTATACGATTTATTGCTGTTTAGAGTATATTGTACAGCACACCATGAGATCATTTAAAAATATCAATCCAAAAAAGGACTGGAAAGTTGAATTCTCTCCAAACAATAAACAAATTGAATTTCATGCAGCTACTGAACCACAGATGATTAAGAAGATTTGCTTACTTGCTACAGTAAACAAACTTGAATGAGGAAAGTATACCTGCGGCAGTAGACAAGAATTAACTGTCTTTTGACTTTCTCCACGTCCTCCTGTAAAAAAGAACAAAATTTTTAAGTGATAACCATATAATTTCAATGTCAAATTCTTCTAATCCTTGCCTGTGTCATTTTCAAAAAGCTTTTCAATGTGTCCAGCTTGGTGAGCCTTGGCACAAGGCCTTGGTTCAAGATTTCCCAAACAGTGCAGGGTCACCACTTTCTGACAAAGGAAGTCAGATGGAGAACAGGGTAAGATTCATTTCTCTGCCCTTTATTTCAATACAGGATTCATTTTTGTGCAAGTTAATCCTGCTCTACTTGTCTCCACTTGTTCCGTTTGCAACCCAGTTGAACTTCTTCCTAGCCACTTGGCTTTGCTGCCAGCCCATTATCTTTTCTCGAGGGCTGCTAATTATACTTGTGCAGTGTGCTTGGTAATACTATTCCTATTTGCTCACCACTGCTGGAGAGACATTGAGAGAGATAGAGAGACAAATACAGACCGGGGGATGGAGACAGGCATGGACAGATCAAGTGTTGCTTTGAAAGTCGGATGTGGCAAAAGGTGGGTCAGCAGTAACAGAAAGGACTCCCCAATTCTAAGGATGTCTAACAGGTTGAAATGGGGGCTGTAAGGAGATTGCACAAAGAGATTAAAGTGAGAAAGTTCAAAGCAGGCAGCACAGGCCTGAATGGTGCTACGTTATTTAATTACACCAAAAATACCAAAAAGTATGCCAAAAGCTTCAATGACCTCAAAAGGGGTGACCAAGACAAGTTAATGTACAGTTCCAATAAACATGCCATACTAATTTTACACTCATCAGGTTAATTTTCAAGTTCCTTCCAAGTATGAGGGAAAAGACTTATGTACAAAGTAAAAACCAAAAGAACTGCGGAT